CCCAAAGCCCCAGTAGATAGTTGTATGTCATAGCTGCACATTCTTCTAGTTGCTGTATGAGGGACGCGGCCTCAGCATGGCCAGAGAAGCAGTGTGTCGGTGCGCGCCCGGGATCCGAACCCGGGCCGCCAGCAGCAGAGCGCACGCACTTAACCGCTAAGCCACGGGGCCGGCCCAAGTGTAGGCGTTTTTGTTGTTGGTTTTTTTTTTGTTTTTTTTGCTTCTCTTCATCCTCCCTCAGGGCCTTGCTCATCAGCCTTTTTTCCTTTGCTTAAGATATCATCTCCCTGTATCTTGGTGTTGCTTTTCTTCAGAGACTGGTTGTGGTCAGGGCACCAATTCCCCTGTGCTACTGTTCTTTCAGTTCCCCTAAAACAAGCTCAGAGGCCCTTTGTACCATGAGATTGTAAAAAACATTTCCCTTGAAAACATGTGAGGGTGTGCTGAAGCTTCCAGAACCTTAAGAAGTCCTCATGTTCACAGCCTCCTGCATACAGTTCCTGTTCAGAGTTCTTTGGTATGGCAGCTCTGGTTCATAGCAGCCAAGAGCATTGACTGCTGGGGCTTGAATAGAAGGCACTTTAGCCACATGTGACCTGGTAACTCTACCCCTGTAACTTCCTGGTCTTCCCCTTTATTCCTACAGGCATAGCCCATTGGTCTTTCCCTTCTTCCCTGCAGGCACCCTCTTCAAGTCTGAAGACACAGTTACAGCACAGGGTGACTTTCTGGGGTGCTGTCTCTGGGGCTCTTCTGCCTGGTGGCAACCTGAAACCACCCAGGAAAAGTCACTCATGAGAATTTCCTTGCAGACGTAAATTCTCTCCCTGAGAAATGGCCATTTCCTGTTATCGGTGCCATTGTCAGTGGGCATTTCTGTTTCCACACAGGTGGGGATGATGGCCTCCTGAAAGGCTGGGACACCAGGACCCCTGGCACATCTTTGTTCACCAGCAAGAGGTAAATCATCAAGGGGCCAGTGCTCGGCATGGAACACCAGCTCTCCCTGTCTCTCCTCCGTGGACTTGCCGCTGGAGAAGTGCCCTGCCTAGGTGCTGCTCAGGTTGTGCCTTTTGCTTACAGACACTCCATGGGTGTGTGCAGCATCCAGAGTAGCCCCCACAGAGAGAACGTCTTGGCCACGGGAAGGTGAGTCCGCTGGAGTAGGTTCACAGGGGTCTTTGCATCTTTCACTTCCTTTTCTCATCTTGACCGTTGTGATGTTTCATTAGGCCAGCTCTCAAACCAGAGTGTAGGTATCTGGGTTTGGTAAAGGGAACTTGGTCCTAGAGGGATGAGTGGGATGGGTCTCCCTGGGAGATGTTCCCTGCCATCTAGGGGCCTTGGGGAGTAAGTGGGCATTGGCTTTCCTGCATGCTCTCTCTGGTTGATTGGTTTCAGCTATGATGAGCATGTTCTCCTGTGGGACACTCGGAACATGAAGCAGCCATTTGTAGACATGCCCGCGCACGGTGGGGTGTGGAGGCTCAAGTGGCACCCTTTCCACTACCACCTGCTCTTGGCAGCATGTATGCACAGTGGCTTTAAGATCTTCAACTGCCAAAAGGCAATAGGTGAGTGGGGGGCCCGTGGCAGCTGAGCCTGGGGTGGAGGCTCCCAGTTTCTTGCCCCCTCACTCTACCAAGCTCTTCTCTCACCCGCCAAACATTCCCAGGGTCACACTCTAGGCCTTGCCGTGATCCATAGCTGCGCCAACTCTGAAATCTCAGTTTCAAGCACTCTGCTGTCTATAGTTTTTACCTGACCAGCTCAATTATTCTGGAACCTTCTGCATTTTAGCGATTCTCTGACCATACTGGGACTTCTAGTTAAGAAGTGTTACCACTTGTCACTTTCATAACCATCTTTGGCTTCCCTCTGCCATGGTCTTCCTGCCTGTGGACAGTGTGGTCTCCACGGTCTGATGTTCCTAACATACCTAAACTCTCTTCCGTTGCGCCCTTCCTCACACTTTCTGGGCAGAACCCAGCACTGGTTAAAATCCAACTTTGCTTATGCCCGAGCCACAGAATGTGGCTGGAGGGAAGCTCCTGTGGGGTCTCACTTCAAGTTGATGCTGCGGTGGGTCCTTGTAATTGCCAGGTGAACCAGGGCCTTTCCCTAGCCAGTAATTCTTCACTGTCAGAATGATTTCATGTTTTCTTCTCTTCTCAAACCCCCAGCACCTCATTTTCCCTCCTCACTCTCAGTTCATGATCTCCCCTACCCTTCCTCTGTACAATGATACTGCCTCACCTTCCCACCATTGCTCCTAGGCCAGTCATCTTGGCACTGGGCTGTACTCAAGGACTTCCTTCCTCTTCTGTATCTTCAGTTCCTCTGTCTCTTTGGCATCATTTCTAAAGATTTTATTTTATTCATTTTTTCCCCCCAAAGCCGCAGTAGATAGTTGTATGTCATAGGTTCACATCTTTCTAGTTGCTGTACGTGGGACTCGGCCTCGCGTTGGACGGAGAAGTGGTGCCTCGGGGCGCGCCCGGGATCCGAACCCGGGCCGCCAGCATCAGAGCGCGCGCACTTAACCGCTAAGCCACAGAGCCGGCCCATCTTTGGCATCATTTCTGTTAGTTATATGAACATGCTGTAATATTCTCATCTTCAAACTTGAGATCTTTCTTCCTTTTTTTTTTTTTTTGTGAGGAAGATTGGCCCCGAGCTAACATCTGTTGCCAATCCTCCTCTTTTTGCTTGAGGAAGATTGTCCCTGAGCTAACGTCTGTGCCCACCTTCCTCTGTTTTATATGTGGGATGCCACCACGGCACGGCTTGATGAGTGGTGTGTGGGTCTGTGCCTGGATCTGAACCTGTGAACCCGGGTGACTGAAGTAGAGCACGCGAGCTTAACCACTATGCCACTGGGCCAGTGCTTTCTTTTTCTTTAATGTAGGCATTTACAGTGATAAGTTGTTCTCTGAGCACTGATTTCGCTACATCCCATGTGTTCTGGTATGTTGTATCTTTATTTTCATTCTTCTCAAAGTATTTTCTAATTTTCCTTGTGATTTCTTCTTTGACTCATTGGTTATTTATGAGTGTGTTGTGTAGTTTCCACATTTTTGTGAGTGTCCTAAATTTCTTTCTGTTATTGACTTCTCTCTCTTTTTTTTTTTGTTGGAGGGACTGGTTCTTTATTTCAAAAAGACACTTGTCAATTTTCAGTATCAAAACAGTTGCACTATTGGTTTCTCTTTCTCCCAATTGGTCCCCACAGAGACCACACCAAAGGAGAGTACATTTTTAGCCAGTAAGCTGCAGGATGCACACCTAATAGACCTCACAGAAACCTCACCAAAAAGGGAGGATTGGGTAGGGAAAGAAACTTCAGAAGATCAGCACACTGCCGGCCCAGACTGTAGAGAGCTCTCACAGCCAAATGAGGTGGCCAGGATGCCCCAGCCCCCAAGAAGCAATGTTTCAAAATAATATAAAATTTAGAAACAGTTTCGTACATAAGCTATTCAAGATTTCTCCAGCACTAACTGATACGAAGCACAACGAGATGGCACTTTTAGAGAAAGCAGTTTCAGACCCAGAAAAGGGTGATGAGATGAGTTTCATATGGCTAAATCAGTGGCCAAAACATAATTTTCCTTCCTTTCTTTCAAGGAGGCAGGAGAGCAGATAAGTGGTCACCTCGACGTAAGGTGCACATGATCCATTCTCTGAGTAGTTGGGAAGGGAGTAGAGATGTGACAAGGATTTGGTCTCAGAGAGAGGTATCACCGTCTTAATTTGTTTGGTCACTTCTGATGAAAAAAATAAAAATAAAATTGCCCAAAGATACCTTAAAGCTGAAAACCTGAACAGCACTTTTTTCTTTTTTGCTAACTCCTGGAATCACCCTTGTGGTTTGGCTGGTACTTTGTACAGAGTGATGAGGTTTCCCATAGTGGAGTCTTTCTCTGGGCTCTGTTTGGCTTTCAGTAAGGCAGGCCCATACCTCTTTCCTTCCTCTATGGAGAGGGCAATATGCGTTAAGCTAAAAAGTTACCTTCCAAAAGTGAGAAAGGGATTAGACTGCTGCTTCAGAACTGCGGAATTATTTGGAATGTTTTACAAATGGTTGCTACATCAACAACAACAAAAAAGGTGTGTACATCACAACATGCTTTTAGAGACACTTTGCATTGTGCTCACATTCCCTTAAATGTTGTTCCCAAAGGTGCTCAGCCTCTAGCCCAACTGGAATCTCTGGGGAGAGGCAGAGACAGTGGGCAAAAAAGACACAGGGGTGGGGGTGGGAGAGGTGGCGAAAGGAGAAAGCAGCCTTCCAGTTGAAGATCAGCCCTCAGTTTATAATTTTTTATTTATTTATTTATTTTCCCCCCAAAGCCCCCGTAGATAGTTGTATGTCATAGCTGCACATCCTTCTAGTTGCTGTATGTGGGACGCGGCCTCAGCATGGCCGGAGAAGTGGTGCGTCGGTGCACGCCCGGGATCCGAACCCGGGCTGCTAGTAGTGGAGCGCGCACACTTAACCACTAAGCCATGGGGCCGGCCCAAGCCCTCAGTTTAAGATTTTATTTATTTTATTTTTTGCCCCCAAAGCCCCAGTAGATAGCTGTATGCCATAGCTGCACACCCTTCTAGTTGCTGTATGTGGGACTCGGCCTCAGGATGGACAGAGAAGTGGTGCCTCGATACGCACCCGGGATCCGAACCCGGGCCGCCAGCATCGCAGTGCGCGCACTTAACCACCAAGCCACAGGGCCGGCCCCTCAAGCCCTCAGTTTAAAGGTCAGCTTCGGGCGGGCTGGCCTGAGGTGGAGTCGGGGTGAGAGGGAGGAGGAGTGGCGGGGCAGGACTGTGGTGCTCTGCATCTCGTTCGGGTGAAGCAGAGTCTGGTCCAGCATCCTTTGTGTACAGAGGTGCTCCTCTTTGGTGCATTTCAGTTTCTCTTCCAAATCATCAGTTGTCTTTTCCAGCTTGGCTACCCATCTCTCAGCAAACTCAGCACGGGTCTCTGCCTCCTGGAGTTTATCAGTAAGCATCTCGATCTCTTCCTCATATTTGTCTTCTTTTTGAGAGCCCTTTTCTTCAGCAGCACTCAGACACTTCACATTCTGGCCCATCAGTCTGATCTGCTCATCCATCTCTCGGCAACGGGACTCTGCCAGCTCAGCTCGTTCCTCGGTGCGCTGCAAGTCCCCCTCAATCATCAGCAACTTATGAGCCACCTCTTCATACTTCCTGTCTCCCTCTTCCGCAATGTGCTTAGCTTCTTTGAGTTGGACTTCCTGGAGCGCCATCTTCTCTTCATCTTTCAAGGCTCGGCTTTCGCTAACCTTCATACCTCTCGCTCTCAGCAGCAGCTTCCTCAGCTCCCTCCAGCTTTTGCAGGACAGTGGCCAGGCGCTCCTGAGTGCGGTCCAGCTCCTCTTCAACCAGCTGGATCCCACGGTTCAAGGAGGCCACCTCAGCCTCAGCCTGTTCCTGGGCCCGCCTTTCTCCCTCCACTCCCCACTGGAGGCGCTCGGCCCTCTCCTCTGCATCATCTGCCTGCTGCTGCAGAACCTGGATCTTGTGCTTCACCGCCTCGATGGTGGTGGTCCCGGCCATGGTGCCCACCCAGCTCCTGCTCACACTCAGGTTCCTGCCTCCTCCGCTTGGCGTTGCAGCTGCCTCTCCTATTGATTTCTGATTTTATTCTATTAGGTTGAGACTTGTTTTGTGGCCTAGTATGTGGCCTGTTCCGGAGAGTGTCTCTGTGCTCTTCAGAGAAGCGTGTGCTCTGTTGTGGGCAGCGTGCGTTGCAGATGCTGCTCAAGTGTTCTGTTTCCTTGTTGATCTTCTGTTTGGTTGTTCATTATTGGAAGTGGAATACTGAAGTTTCCAACTATTAGTGTTGAATTGTCTCTTTCGTCCCTAATTTCTGTCAGCTTTGGCTTCATGTATTTTGGTGCTCTGTTGTTAGGGGTGTATATGTTTATAACTGTTGTATTTTCCTAAGGTATTGACCCTCGTATCATTATGAGGTGCCCTCTTTATCTCTGGTCACCTTTTTGTTTGTTTCAAAGTCCATTTCATCTGGTATTAGTGGAGCCACTCAAGCTCTCTTATGGTTGCTGTTTGCATGATGCGTCTTTTCTTGTCCTTTGCTTTCTGTCTCTTCATGGCTTTGAATCTGAAACATGTCTCCTGTATCGGGGTATGCAGTTTTGTCAGGGACATTACAGAAGTGACATTCTGCCCTCCTTAGTGTGCTGTGTCAGGGCACATGGCACCACTCTGTCCCTTTCCGCTGGCGTTAATGTGATCACTTGGTTAAGGTGGTCTCCCCCGGAGTTCTCCACTGTAAGAGTTACCGAGATTCCCTTTGTAATGAATAATAGTGTTTGCACCTGTGTTCCTTGTCAGACTTGCACTCAATCCATTGATGATTCTTGCCTGAATAAATTATTACTGCAAGTGCAAATTGGTGATTTTCTAACTACTATCATTCTTTCTACATTTTTAAATTAGTGTTTTTTTGTAAGGAAAAGTAAGAGCTTTCCTTTCTCCCATATGTCTGTCTGTATTTTTAGTATCCATACAGATTCATGAATTTTTATGTTATTCAATGGGTCATAATCCATTATTGCTGTTATTCATTATAATGTTCACATTGTCTTAGAGTTTTCCTGTGAAAGCCCCTTTAAGCTGTCTCTTGTGGCCTTTTCACATGTCCCTATTGATTTTTGAGTACTTCCTTGCTTTTTGGCACAAGATATACCAGGTTCATTTTGCATTTTACCTCTCCCAAACCTGGAATCAGCTGTTCTCCAGGGAGTCCGGATCCTTAGTCGTGAGTGGTGTTTAGAATCCAAGATCTGGTAATTAGCGGTCTTATAATACTGGGATGTCATGTGCACGTGTGTGTGTGTGTGTGTGTGTGTTAGACCATGAGTTCACAGTGACGTCTCTAATTACGTTCCAGCTTTTGCTGTCCCCATTCTGCATGTGTCTCCCTTCTCCAGAGAACACCCTGGCTGCCAGCGAATGTGCTCATGTGCTCAGCCGTACAGAGTGGCCACTGGTGTCATTGCAGAACAAGCCTGCGAAGTCAACTCAGGATGCCCTGTGGTTCTCTGTGTCAGATTGATTTGATTATAGTCAAAGTACTGTGTTCAAAAGTTACTTGGATGAGATTTGTATTTTTTTTTCTTGTGTGGTTATTTGAAATACAGTTAGGTCTGTTTTTTTAAGGATTTTTTTCTTCATCCTCATTCATTTAATTTTTATCTTTTGAATGTGTAAAACGTTAACAATGTTCCAGAAATTAAAATTATGTTAAAAAGTATGCACAGAGGAATATCAGACCCTCCCCACCTTGTTCCCACTCACCTCTTGTAGATAACACATTTCATTAGGTTTTGGTTATAATTGCATGTCTTTTTGCAAAAATAAGCGTATACGTGTATATATATATATTCATACTTCTTTCTTGTACAAAAGATATTTTACATACACTCTTTCATACTTTGTTTATTTCATTTAAAGATGTATCCTGGAAATCACTCCATATTGGTTCATAGAGGTCTTCTTTGTTCTTTTAAAGTGATGTAGCACTCCATTTAGTGGGTATACCATAGTTTTTTCATCCAATTTTCTTTTTTTGTGTGTGTGTGAGGAAGATTAGGCCAGAGCTAACATCCAATGCAATCCTCCTCTTTTTTTTTTTTTTTAACTGAGGAAGATTGGCCCTGGGCTAACATCCGTGCCCATCTTCCTCTACTTGATATGGGATGCCGCCACAGCATGGCTTGACAAGCAGTGCGTCGGTGCGTGCCCGGGATCCAAACCCCGGGCCGCCACAGCGGAGTGTGTGCACTTAACCGCTTGCACCACTAGGCCGGCCCCTCATCCAGTTTTCTATGTGAGTATTTGGGTTATTTCCAGTATTTTGCATTTATAAATAATGCTTCCTATGTATCTTGTTTTGCATATGTGTTTTTGTTTTGTTGGTGGTGTATCTTTAGGCTTACTGCCTAGATGTGGGATTGCAGGGTCAAAGATTCAATATATATCCAGTTTCATTATCTCACCAGCCATGTATGAGAATGCTGGCTTTCCCAGAGCCTTGCCAACAGAGTTTGTTGTCCAGCTTTGGGATTTTTGCATCTGATAGGTGAGAAATAACATCAGAGTAGTTTAAAATTGCATATCTCTAATTATGAGGGAAACTGAATATTTTTTCTTATGCTAAAGAGCTGGTTTTATGAATTATCTTTGTCTGTCTTTTGCCTGTTTTTCTCTCTGGTTTCTAGTTTTTTTTCCCCTTGGTTTTTACAGAGTTCTTCTGTATTAGTGGTGTTAGCCCTTTATCTCTGGTATGTTGGAAATATTTTCTTTCAGTTTGTTGCCTTGATTTTTGCCTATGGTCTTTTTTTCCCACATGCAAAAGTTTTTTTTTTTTTAATGTAATCAAATTTATAGATTTTTTTTTCATTGAATCTGGATTTTGAGTCTTAGTTAAAAAGCCTTCCCCTCACACACTCAGTTTGTAAAGGAATCCTCCAGTGTTTTCTTCTCGTACTTGTATGGCTTCAGTTTTTTACGGTTAGAACTTTTTTTTTTTTTTTTTAAAGATTTTATTTATTTATTTTTTCCCCCCAAATCCCCAGTAGATAGTTGTATGTCATAGCTGCACATTCTTCTAGTTGCTGTATGTGGGACGCGGCCTCAGCGTGGCCGGAGAAGCGGTGTGTCAGTGCACGCCCGGGATCCGAACCCGGGCCGCCAGCAGCAGAGCGCACGCACTTAACCACTAAGCCACGGGGCCAGCCCTACGGTTACAACTTTGACCCGAGTTCTTACCTGTGGTGTGTGGAGCCCCCAGTGAATCGAGATGCCACCTTTCTTGTGTGTTGACTTTCCCTGGGTACTTACACGATGTCTTGTCTTCCTATTCTGTCCCCCTGGCCGGAGTCCTGGAGCTTTGCAGTGCGTTTGTAAGAGTAGGTGTACTGCCTCCTCTCGCTCTTCTTTTTCAAGGACTTCCTGACTATTCTTCTATTTGAACTTGAGCATCAGCTTATGTTGTCCCAGAAAAAAGCTTATTGGCTTTTTATAGGGATTGCATTAAATATACATTAACTTTACGACTGACTTATTTTATCATCTGGAGTCATCTTATACAAGAAAAGGGATATCTCTCCATTTGTTCAAGTCTGTTTTTCTATCTTTCAGAGGGTTTTAACATTTTTCTATGTATACATTGTATATTTCTTGTTAACTTCATTCCTAGGTAGTTTATCTTTATTGTTGCTATTGTGAATGGGGTTTTTCTCTTTCATTTTATCTTCTAAATGGATACTGTCTGAGTATTTGAAAGCTATTGGGTTTTTTGTTGGTAATTTCATATGCTGCTACCTAACTAAAGTTTTTGGTTTCTGTTAGTCTTTTTTTTTTTTTTATAATTTTATTTATTTATTTATTTTTCCCCCAAAGCCCCAGTAGATAGCTGTATGTCATAGTTGCACATTCTTCTAGTTGCTGTATGTGGGACGCGGCCTCAGCGTGGCCGGAGAAGCAGTGCGTCACTGTGCGCCCGGGATCCGAACCCAGGCCACCAGCATCAGAGTGCACGCACTTAACTGCCAAGCCATGGGGCCGGCCCGGTTTCTGTTAGTCTTATCATTGATTCTCTGGGTTTTCCAAGTAAATATCATGTAATCTGCAAAAAGATATGGTTTTATTCTTTATTTTCCAATTCTAATGCCAATAATTGTTTTCTCTTGTTTACTTTCATCCATTGATATCTCCAATACAGTTTCAAAAAGGTGAAGGGCATCCTTGCCTTTTCTCAGACCTTGATAAGGATGTCCTTGGTGGTTCCCATTGAGTACGATAATGTATAAGGACTAAAGTGTATCTATTTTATTATATTGAAGAAGTGTCCATCAATTCCTGTTTTCTTGAGTATTTTTTTTAAACCAGGAATTGCTGAATTGTTGTCAAATGCTTGTATATCTGTAGAGCTGTGTTATTTTTCTCCTTAGATATATTAATATGGTAAATTTTGTTTGTAGATTTCCTAATATGGAATATATTTCTGGAATAAATCCCACCTCATTATGGTATGTTATTTTTTTAATGTGGTATTGGACTCTGGTGATATTTTAATTAGGATTTTGCATTAATGTTGAAAGGTGACACAAATCTTCTTTTACGCTGTTTTTATCAAGATTAGATATCAGCATTACTTTGGTTCATGTGAAAATCAAAACCAGAAGTGTGAAAAATTTTCTTCATTTTCTCTTCTCTTGAATAATTTATGCATCATTTGGATTATCTTTTCTTCCAAGAGTTGGTGAGTCTCCTGTAAGACTACCTGGGCCTGATCTAGTGTGTATGGTAGTCGCTTTATCAGTTCCTCTGGAAATTGGTTTGTTGATGCTTTACGTCTCTACTGGAGTCAATTTTGGTGAACTGTATTTTCCTAGGCTATTATTCATTTCATCTACATTTTGAAATTTATTTGCATTAAGGTGTGTAAAGAAGTCACTTGTGATTTTTTAAAAAAAATTTCCTCTTTAATGGTTATTTCCGCTTTGTCATGTTTTACTTTGTATATTTATGCACATATACAAATACATATGGCAAGTTTTCTCTTTCTCCTTAGGTTAGCTACCGTTTTGTCATGTCTTTTGAAGAAGTGGGGTTTAGTTTTTATTACAGTTGTGTGGTTTTTCTGTTCTCTACTTCATCACTCACTCTTGATCTTTGTGGTTTCCTTCCTTGTGCCTCCTTGGTTCTTTTTCTAGTATTTTGAGTTGGGAATACAATTCACATACCTTATTATTTTGCTTGTATTAATTTAGGGGTTTTTATGTCTGAATTTTTCTGATTTAAGCATATTTTTAGGTTCTGATGTGTAGTACAGTCATGCACTGCATAATGACACTGGGGTCAATGACAGACCACATGTATGACGGCAGTCCCTTAAGATCAGTTCCCTAGAGCCTTAGGTGTGTCGTAGGTCCTGCCGTCTAGGTGGTGAGTTCATTCTGTGGTGTTCGAGCAAAACTGGAATCACCTAAGGATGCCTTTCTCAGGAACCATCCCCGTCGTCAAGCAATATGTGACTGTGATTTCATTTTCATTTTTTAAAAAGAAATTTGGTGATTTGAGTTTATATTTCCCCTTTGACCCAAGTGTGGTTTAGTAGGTTTAAAAATTTTTTTTTTAATAATTTTATTTATTTATTTTTTCCCCCAAAGCCCCAGTAGATAATTGTATGCCATAGCTGCACATCCTTCCAGTCGCTGTACGTGGGACGCAGCCTCAGCATGGCCGTAGAAGCGGTGCGTCGGTGCACGCCCGGAATCTGAACCCGGGCCACCAGCAGTGGAGTGCGCACACTTAACCGCTAAGCCACGGGGCCGGCCCATGTTTTAAAATTTCTAAGTGGAAGGACTCTTTTGTTTTTTGACTGTTATTAATTTTTAATTTTATTGCATTATGATTAGAGAGCATTGCTTGTACTATTTCTATTTTATGGAACTTTTCAATCCTTTTTTGCCTGGCATGATTGTTCTGTTCATGTTCCACGTGCACTTGAGTAGGAGACATGTCTGTATTACTGGGTGTGATGTTACTGTGCGGCCGGAAGACCAGCCGTGTTCACTGGGTTACCTGGGGCCTGGCCGGGGTCCTGGCCAGGAGTGGGCGCTTTGAGTGGTTGTTGGAAAGGCTGTGGCGAGCCCTTATTGTCCCAGCGGCCCATCTCCCGATCCCGTCCAGGCGTTAACACAGAGGACAGGGATGGTTTCCTGGGGAGCCTCCTCCCATGCGTGTTGCCCGAGCGCCTCTCTGGCTGAGGAAGCTCGGCATCTGGCTCCTCTGGAGCCGCCTCTGCCCAGGCGCTGCGCTGGGTTAGGGAGTAGGATCTCCTGTGTCATCGTTGTGTCCGTGGCTTGTTTCCCAATTCCAGCATCGACCTAGTCTGCGCCTCTCCTTTCTTCATCATTGCTCATTCTGATCATGACTCAGACACTGTGGCATTGATCCCTGCACTTGGGAGGCAGCAGTGGCCACCCTTTCAGAGTGTCGTGGCTGTCCAGGCTTATTGAAGACCTGAATGGCCACCAGGCTTCCAGCTGCTGACAGTTCTCTAAGTCCACATCCCCAGCTCACAGGCCACTAGCTTTCCATGGCAGCTCTTGCCAGCCCCAGCCTTGCCCTGGACCACCTCAGGTTTGGCAGCACCTCATCATTTCTTTTTCTGGTCAGATGTCACTTTCAAACCTTCTGCAGCTGGGTACTGTCTGGAAGCAACCCTGACCTCTTTCCAGTCCCACCCTCCATCCTCAGAGTTGCCACAGCAACTTACCCTAAGGAAAACTGCTCACGCTTAAACTCTTCAATGACTCCTTTCCAAGCTAAAATTCCAACTCTTTAATGGAGCATGCTGCACTTTGCATGATTTTGACCCTCCGGATATGTGTCACCACTCCCCGACGGCCTTCCGCCACGTCCACTTGTGTGTGGTTCCTCACGTCAGGTTTTTTCTACCACTGTACTGCACACGTGCTTGTTCCCTGTTTCCCATACATCTCTTTCTCTCTCATATGGATGACTCTTGTCCTTTGCTTTAAGTCTTAACTGAGAGGCTTTTACCAAGTCCTCCAACTTGGAAAAGCACCCATGCATCTGTGGTTCTGTAGCCCAGGCTGATTCCTCTCTCAGGCACACACAGCATACTCACTTCTCTGCTCACCTGTCCCCGTCTCAATAATTCTTGTGCACGACACACAGTGGTTGCTGATGAGTGAGTGGCTGTTCTTGGCAGAGTCTCCCTTTGAGGGTGGGCAGGGGCCATTGGTTGGGGGTGATGAGATGGATTCTTGGTAACGTTGCATTTCCTGTATTCTCCTGTCTCTTCCAGAGGAGAAGCAGGAAGCATATGCAGTCTCTGTGTCCCATACGTTGCCCAACTCACTGGTGTATGGAGCTGATTGGTCCTGGCTCTACTTCCACCATCTGCCAAAGACTCAGCAGTCATTCTGCTCAGGGTCTTTTCCCTGCAGCGACCCAGGAGCCAGAACAGCAGATCTGGTCTATAACCTGAAGGTTGTGGGCCAGTCGCCTGCTGCCTCTTCTGATCGTTTAGCAGCCGACGATAAAGATGGCCATAGCAAACCCCAGAGTGGAGGCAAACCGAGGACTGCCCTCCAGCCACTCTCAGAGGACGTGAAGAGCGGCAGCCAGCTGCACACTGCAGAGGCCACAATCTGTGACTGTGGCCTCTGTCTGCAGGCAGCAAACTTGGACATCAACCTTCTAGCCACGTGCTCCTTTTATGATCACGTTCTTCACCTCTGGAAGTGGGAGAACCGCTGAGCTAGGGAAGAGTTTGCTTGGTTTGAAATCATTAAGACCATTTCCACAAATAAAACCAAGAGTGCGACTGTATTTGGTCTGTGAATGAACTGCCCTCAGAGCATATCCTTGAGATTCTTACTGCAGTCTCTGCAGGTTACTGTATAGGGCTCAGTGCATCTTATGGAATCTACAGTATAGACAGTTAAGAAACTGTTGGCTTCTCTTAAGGAAACCTATCTGCTGGGGCCCTTGAAAATGGGGATTCTGTCTGGCAGCAAAAGGGCCTTTGCCCTAGCCTAGCATGCTGCTGGGCACGGGGAGCGGGAGGGCTTGGTTCCTAGCTCTCAGACTTGTCAGTTTCTTATGTAGAGTTGACTTTTACTTCTTTATATTTATTTAAGCAACTATTTATATTAACTAGATGAAGTTTTTTTTTTTTTTTTTTT